ATATTTTGAAAGCTTTTCACCCCATGTAGCTTTGAGATTATGATGAGTATTCTGGCATGGCAACATCTATTAAGAAACATCATTCTTAAATTTTCATGGATCAACATATATGAAGGCAACTTGAGGAAACATTTTTGTCTGTGGTAATGCTCTGGTTCTAACACAGTTTATTTGTTGAGTTCTCAAGGATATTTTGAGATCTGTATTTGTAATACAGATTTGACATCTGTTAGTTAGGAAAGACAGTGAGCTTCTGCTGTATACATTCCTCTGGTTCTTGTAGGTATCTGGCAGACGCTAAATTTTTGCCACCTTTGGTCATGTGTACCATTTTCTTGCATAAACTTCATTGATTAATAGGTCTGGACTTCCTAAAGATATCACTTCTGCAATTTCAGATTGTGATGATCTAACCCAAAATTCCTATCACAAACCCTTTCATTTTTATAAAATAAATCTCTGTCACTCAGCCATTTGTTCAACAACTTTTGACAGATTGTTGATTGAGTTCATGGGGATGTCTTCTATGAAAGACTTTTTGATGTCACTCGGGGATTGGAGCCTTTTTATAGGCTCTACCCATTAAACCATTTTTGGTTACATTCAACAAATTCCTTGATGTGTACCACCGTTAGACTTTATTATTGCTCAAAGAAATGATGTGTGTCTATTTCAAAAGTATTTCCACAAATTTCACGTTTATCATGTGTTCTGAAAACACCTATCAATCCTCTTTCTCCTTTTTGATGAAGAAATGCCATTCTTTCTATAACTGCTTTAGGGTGATGGATCCTGTTTCATTAATTTTGGGTGGATTTTTATTAAGTCACTTTACATATCTCTGTTTATTTTACAATTCCAAAAACCGTACTTTAAGAGTGGTATTATGCCTTGTTGGTGGAGTTGTGAACTGATCCAACCATTCAGAAGAGCAATTTGGAACTACGCACAAAGGGTTATGCCATCCAGCAATACCACTTCTAGACCTGTATCCCAAAGAGATCATAAAAAAGTGAAAAGGACCCATATGTACAAAAATATTTATACTAGCTCTTTCTGTAGTGGCAAAGAATTGGAAATCGTGGGGATGCCCATTATTGGGGAATGGCCAAACAAGGTGTGTTTTATGAATGTGACGGAATACTATTGTGCTATAAGAAATGAGGAGCAGGCAGACTTTAGAAAAACCTGGAAAGACTTACATGAACTGATGCAAAGTGAAATGAGCAGAACCAGAAAACATTGTACACAGTAACAGCCACATTGTGCAATGACTGACGTTGACAGACTTAGCCCTTCTCAGTAATGCAAGGATCTTAGACAACTCCAAAAGATTCATGATGGAAAATGCGATCCACATCCAGAGAAAGAACTAACTACAGAGTCTGAATGCAGATCGAAACATCCTATTTTCTCTTTTTTATCGTTGTTTTTTGTTTTTTCTTTCTCATGGTTTTTCCCTTTTGTTCTGATTCTTCTTTCACAACACGAATAATGTGGAAATATGTTTAACATGATTGAACACGTATGACATATCAGATTGTTTGCTGTCTTGGGGAGGGGGGAGGAAAGGAGGAAGAAAGAAAAAATTGGAACTCAAAATCTTACAACAATGAATGTTAAAAACTATCTTTACACATAATTGAAAAAAAATTCTATTAAGTGCAAAAAACATGAAAAGCAAAAATGGGAAAAAAGTGGTATTATGTAGATGTTCACTGCTTTAAATATATTCTTCCCATTGAGCTTTCAATCAATCAATAAACATTTATTAAGCACCATGCTTGCGCCAGGCACTATGATAAATGCTGAGGATGCAAAAGGAGGGGCAAAAGACTGCCTCTGCCCTCAAGGAGCTTACAATCTAATGCTGTGATTTCAGGATGCCAGTAAGCATATTGACATATTCACAGCCACAGTTTAGTCCATTATATCTAGTATTATGCTCAAGATGTCTTGTTTGGAGGAGAGTAAGGCATTTTTTAAGGATCGCCTCAGTCTATTGGTTTGTTTTGACTTTTAGATTCAAGTTCAACATCTTCATTCTCTACTTTTCCTCAGAGAACATTACAAAATTTATACTTCTTGAATCCAAATGATATTTTGATGTCATTTGAGAAAGATTCCACAAGATGAAGGGACTTTTTAATGTGTTTTTAAGTAGAGCCATGTAGCTTAATGACATCCAAGTACCTCAAGTGATTAATAAAATGTTTAAATATCACTCTTTCTTTGACTTGGAAGCCATACTCAGTTCTATTTAAAAGAGCAGATAATGAGTTTAAGGCAAGGCAGAATTGTAATAGGCTTAAACTGTCTTGAAAGATGACACATGTTATATCCATTGTTCCTGACATTATTGTGTTGGTGGCATATTTTAAGTAGAGCATAGTTTTCCACGTGGACATTAAATGATTTAACATTCTCACTATACTTGGGTCTATCTTAATGTTTGTAAGTATGAAAAAGCCATGAGTGTGGAATTCAGCCAAAGGCTTATTATCATCTTTTTCTGATGGGATCCAGTTAGAAACAGTCAGAGGATGTCATTATCTTCTCATCATTCTTTTATATCCAATGCTTTTAGATAATTAATATTATTATTACTATTGCTGATTAAGCACACAAATATCCCAGTCCAAGCAATATTCTTTTTTTTAGGAACAAGGAATAAAAACAATAACAGCAACATTTATATATTGTTTTCACATCTGTAAAGTACTTCACATATACTATCTTTTTGATCCTTAAAAACTTTTGAAGTAGTTGCTGTTATTATCCTCACTTTACAGATGAAGAAACACAGGAGCCTGAAAGGTTGACACTTTTTTAAGTTCGCATTAAGTGCCAGGCGCTGTGTTAAGTAGTAAGGATACAAAAAAAGGCAAAAGAAATTGTTGTCTCCAAGGCGCTCACAATCAAATGGGGGAGACAACAAGCAAACCGTATCGTATGTACAAACAAAATATATCCAGGATAAAATGGAGATAATCAACAGAGGGAAGGCACTAGAATTAAGGTTGGGGGAGGATCAGGAAAGGCTTCCTTTAAAAGGTAGGATTTTGAAGGAATCCAGGCAAACAGGGAGGTGGAGATAAGGAGGGAGAGTGTTCTAGGCAAGGGGGACAGCCTGTGAAAATACCTGGAGTGGGGAAATGGGAATCTTGTGCGAGGAACAGCAATATCAAGGGGCAGCTCAGTGGCTCAGTGGATAGAGCACTGGCCCTGGAGTCAGGAGGACTTGAGTTCAAATCCAGCCTCAGACACTTAATATTTAACTAGCTGTGTGACCCTGGGCAAGTCACTTAACCCCATTGCCTAGCAAAACAAACAAACAAAAAACAAAGTCAATATCACTAGGTCTCAGAGCAGGAGTTAGGGCGGAAGGAGTAAGGGGAAAGTTAGGGGTTAGTTTTTATGAAGGGCTTTGAATGCCAAAGAGAAGATTTTATATTTGATCCTGAAGGTGATAGGGAGCCATTGAAGTTTATTGAATAGATGAGTGACATGTTCAGACTTGTTAGACAGCTGAGTGAAGAAAGGACTAGAGTGGGGAAAGATTTGAGGCAGGCAGACCCCTGCCCCTTCCTCCCAAACCCCACACTCACAGCCAACTACTGCAACAGTTCAAGTGTGAGGTGAGGTGATAAGGGCCTGAGTTGTGGGACTGTTTACCCCACAGAATCATCTCTCTGGGCCCAAATCTGGATAAATAAGACCACCATTATGCCTTTTCTTTCTCCTTATGCATCAGTGAAAAGACCACTGAACTTGAATCTGCCTGCCACTTATTACCTGTGTAACCTTGAGGAAATCACTTAACCTCTCTGATCCTCCATTTCCTCACCTGTAAAATGAGGGGGGATTGTCTAGATCAAAGGTTCTTAATCTGGGGCTGAACTTATTTCAATATTCTGATAACTGCATTTTGGTTTTAAAAAAATTGGTCTCCTTGGTAACCCTATGTCTTTCCTTTTGTGCATATAAAAAAATTCTTGAGAAAAAAGGTCCTCAGGCTTCACCAGACTGTCAAAGGGGGTCACCGCACACAAAAAGTCAAGGATCCCTGGTCTGTCATGATGAAAAATGCTCTCCACCTATAGAGAGAACTGAGGAATTCTGAGTGCAGAGGGAGGCTTTTTTCCCCACTTTTTCTTGCTTTTTTTTTCCAACATAGCTAACATTGAAATATGTTTTGCATTATTTCACTTGCATAATGAGTATCACATTGATTGCTTTCAATGGGTGGGGTAGGGAAGGAGCGAGAGAATGTAGAAGTCAAAAGTTTTAAATGTTAAAAGAAATTTTCAAAAACATAACATTTTTAAAAAGAATCCCTGGTCTAGATGATTTTGGGGGGTTCCTTCCAGCTCTGGACCTATGATTATGGGGCTGTAAACTTTTCCCCCAGCAGTGGCCTTGGAGTCAGAAAGTTGTTGTTCACTGTGTCCCATTCTTTGAGACCCCATTTGGGGTTTTCTTGCAAAGATACTGGAATAGTTTGCCATTTCCTTCTCCAGCTCATTTTACAGATGAGGAAAGTGAGGCAAACAGGGTGAAGTGACTTGCCCCGAGTCACATGGCTAGTAAGTGTCTGAGGCCAGATTTGAATTTCCTTACTCCAGGCCTGGCATTCTATCCAGTATGCCACCTATCTGCTTGGGAAGACCTGAGTTCAAATCCAGCCTCAGCCACTTACTAGCTGCGTGACCCTGGGCAAGTCACTTAAACCTCAGTTTCCTCATAAAATGTGAATACCAGTTTCCTCAACTGTAAAACGTGAATAATAATAGCAACTTCCTCAGGAGGTTGTAGTGAAGATCAAAACAGGCGTGTGGGGATAAACCACTTACTTAATAAAGGCGTGCTTTTTTTCATTTCAACAAAAGGCTCACATTCTGCTGAGCTTTCTTAACTCCGCCCCATAGCGACAGTGCTTTCTCTTCCCATCATGGCGTCCTCGCCAACCCCACCCCCGCTCCTATATCCTTGACCTGCCTCCCGTGAGCCTCTGCTCTTCCCAGTTTGCTGCCGGTCCTCTTTCCCAGCAGCCCTCGCGCAGCGTCCTAGATTTGTCGCACTCCAAGGTGGCAAGATGTCGTCCGTGTGTGAGTGATCGAGCCCGGGGGTCGGGAGGAGGCGCCCGGCCGGGGCAGCCGAGGCCTGAGGCGGGGGTTGGCGGGAGGCCCCGGCTCAGCCGGCGGAGGGGTGCGGAAGGTCGTGGGGGGTACGCGAGGGAAGGAGGGCCCGACGGCCGCCGCTGCCCTCTGCTCAAGGACTCGGCCGAGGCCTGCAGGGGTCCGGCCCGGAGCCTGGGCGAGCCGCGGAGTCGCCGGGGGCCCGGGCTGAGCGGGCCCGGAGGCCTCCGGGAGCCCTTGCTCTGTTTGAGGCGACGCAGGAGGAGGGGCGGGGGAACGGGGGCCCTGAAGGGTGGAGGGAGGCCGGGGCGGCCGGACCCGGCTGAGCACCCCGCGGAGGATGTCAGTGCCACTGCCCACTGACCGGCCGCAGAGCGCCCGGGCCGCGGTGAAAGGCCCAGTCATGTCCTGCGGAGAGAGACCAAACACTCCCCCTCCAGACCCTGGACCCTCCATGCCCGGAATGGGTTCCCTCGTTATCGTCACTTCCTGGACCCCTGGCTTCAAGAGCCAGCTAGAATCTCATCTTATTCGAGAAGCCTCCCCCGATCCCCCTTAGTGCGCAGTGCCTCCCCACTGCTGATCATCCCCAGTCTGTCCTGTGTCTACCATGTTTGCGTATTGTTTGCTCTATTAGATTGTGAGCTCCTTGAGAGCGGGGATTCTTTTGCTTTTATTTGTATATTCAGCCCTTAGCACGTAGAAAATATTTAATAAATGTTCCTTGATTGACGGATCAAGTGATTTGAAGGTGGCACCAGAGGACGTGGGGTCTTGACACTCAACTGCTTGTGTGACCTTGAGCTGAGTCAAGTCATTAGGCATTTGTTAAGGGTCTGTTATGTTCTGGGCACTGTGCTAAGTTATGGAGAATACAAAGAAAGATTTTAGAAAAAAAAACTGTCAGTTTATAATCTATCGAGGCACTGTGCCAAATTCTGGAGAATACAAAGAAAGTTTAAAAAAAAAACCTCTCCTGTCCTCAGTTCATAATCTAATGGGGAAGAAAACATCCAATAACAATGAGCGTACAAAAATATATACAGTGTAAGAGAGGTGGTGTTGTTCAGTCATGTCCTAAAACTCTTCCTGACCCCATTTGGGATTTTCTTGGCAAAGATACTGGTGTGGTTTGCCATTTCCTTCTTCAGCTCATTTTACAGATGAGGAAACTGAGGCAAACAGAGTGAAGTGACTTGCCCGGAGTCACACGGCTAGTAAGTATTTCAGACCTGATTTGAACTCAGAAAGAGCAATCTTTCTGACTCCAGGCCAGATGCTTTATTCACTGAGACACCTACCTGTCCTGTAAGGAAGGTAATTTCAAAAGGAAAGGATTGGAAAAGGCTTCTTAGTAAGGTTGGGATTATAGTTGGGACTTGAAGGCAGGAAACCAGAAGGTTGAGACAGAGGGTGGGGGAAGGGAATTCTTTGCATGGGGGGTCAGCCAGTGAAAATGCAGTCTGAAGATAGAGTGTAAGGATGAGCAAGGAGGCTGGTGTCACTGCATCCTAGGAGGGGAGTAGGATGTAAGGAAATTGGAAAGGAAGGAAGGGGCCAGATTGTGAAGGGTTATATTTGATCCTGTAGCTAATAGGGGAGCCACAAACTTAAATTATCTAGGCCCCAATTTTATCACATGTAAAATGAGGGAATTTGAACTAGATAATCTCTAAAGTTCCTTCCAGTTCTAAATCTACCATGCTGCGGTGCTATGAGCTGGTGAGGTTTAGGGAAGTTTGGAAGGAGTAGGGCTAGGATGATGCTCTTTAAGCATTTGAAAGGCTCTCACGTGGCAAGGAATAAACTTGTTCTTTTTTGCTTCATAGGACAGAACTAGGATTAATGAGTTGAAGTTGCAGAGACAAATTTGACCTAGAGAGAATAACTAGCTATTCAGCAGTAGATGACCACTTGTCTAGTATATTGTAGAGAGGTTTTTGCTTTAGTTTGGACTAGGTTTGTTGGCAACTAAGGTTCCTTCAATTCTTGAGAATCTGTGATTCTGCATTTTGAAACTCTTCATTAGAAAATTATTTCCAGAACATTTTTATTAGAGACCCCATAAAAGCTTTACACTGGCACACAAGAGAATTCTAATTCTGCTACTCTCCATGTGTCTTTGGGCAACTACCTCTCCTCTGTAGGCCTCACTTTTCCCATCTGCAAAATGAGATTGGACTAGGTGATCTCTAAGCTCTATCTCCAACATTCTATGAGACAAGAGAATAAAAGATCATAGATCTTCAGGTGGAAGGGACCTCAAGGGTCATTTGCCAATTATATTAGTAAAAAAGAAAAAAAAAGTAAGCTCCTTGGATATTTTATTTTTGTATTTGTATCCCAAGCACAGTGACTGTCACTTAGTACTAGCTTGTTGAACTTAATCAGATTGAGCATAGTGAACAGAAATGGCCTAATTAATAAGACATACATACTTTATATGATTGGGAAACATGTTTTTCTAAACTTTCTATGGTCACAAAAGGAAAAAAGGGTGGTTGTAGTTATCCATGCTGAGGGGCTATTTCCCTGTCCATCCTCAACCCCCCGTAATGGCTGGTTGACCCTAATTAGAATAAATACTGCGTATTAATATTGCAGTCATTCCATCAATAAGTATCATTTAAGTGCATTAAGTGTGATAGGCACAGCATTGAGCATTGGGGGTAAGACCTCAAGTAGCTTACATTCTAATGGGAGAACAACAAATCTTTATCTGGGTATGTGCAAGGTAAAAATAGAGGGAAGGCACTAGAGTCTGGAGGACTGGGAAAGGCCGACTGCACAAGATGTTGCTTGAGCTGAGCCCCAGTTCTTGGAGACAGCCTGCATGAAGGGACAGAAAGGAAATGAAACATCATCTGTGAGGAACAGCAAGTAGACCAGTATGGCTGGACTATAGAGGATGTGAGAAGGAGTAATATGTTAAAACACTAGAAAGCTAGAAACAGTCCAGGCTGCAAAGAACTTTAAATGCCAAATAGAGACTTTATTTGATACTAGAAGTAATAGGGATATAATAGGGAGTTTATTGGGGGTGGGGAGTGACATAAACCTGTACTTTAAGAAAAGCGTTTTGGCAGATATGTGAAGATATTTGAGGCAGCAAGAACAATTAATGAGCCATCATAGTAGTGCAGGCATGAGATGATGGGAGTCTATCCAGACTGGTGGACATGTGAGAGATGTTGTGAGAGTAAAAGTAACAAGATTTATCCACAGATTGACTGTGTGGGGTGTGTGAGGGGAAGAAGTTGTGGATGACACTGAGATTGGGGGCCTGGGTTCCTTGAAAGGATGGTGGTGCCCTTGACAAGTAGTAGGGAAGTTCAGATGAGGAGTAGATTGAGAAGGAAAAATAATGAGTTTTGTTTTGGACAGGTTGAGTTTGGGATGCCTACAGGACAGGATTTCAGTTCAGAATGTCCAATAGGCTGCTCATGATGGGCGCCTAGATCTTTACAGATAATTTGGATAAAATCAAATTAAAGGTTTTGCAAGAACAAAGTTAATATAACTAGGGATAAGAAGGGGATCAATTGATTGGAAGAAAAGCTTTGTATCAAATATCTCTGAAAATGCCGCTATTCAGAATTTGGCAACAAATTTGATATCTGGGGTGAATGCAAGTGAAGAGTCAAGTTATAAGGCTTGGTCACTGGGAGGATAGCAATTTCATTGACAATAATAGTGAAATTCAGGGAGAAAAGGGTAGAAATGGGGGGGGTTCAGGAATGAGTTCTATTTGATATATCTAAGAGACATCCATTTCCAGATGTCCGATAGGCAGTTGGGGATGTTGTGAGACTGAAGGTCATAAGAGGGTTTGGCCTGGATCTGTAGATCTGAGAATCCTAATTGAATTCATGAGAGGTGATGAGATCCCCCAAGTGAGAGAGTATAGACATTAAAGAAAAGAGGGCACAGGACACAGAGCCTGGACATGACATGGATGAAGGTCCAGCAAAGGATACTAAGCAGACAACTAGGAGAACTAAGAGAAAGCAATGTTAGGAAGACTCAGGGACTAGAGAATAACTGAGAGGAGAAGGTGGATGATAGTTTCAGATGCTGCAGAAAAGATCAAGAAAGTAGAAGACTGAGAAAAGGCCCTTAGATTAGGCCATTAAGAAATCATTGATAACTTTGGAGAGAGCAGTTTGAATTAAGAGGTCAGAAGCCAGACTACAGAGGATTTAGAACATGAGAGACAAGCTTCAGCTAAGTAACTTTCTTTTGGGGACCATATTTAGTGTCACAAAATTCCAATACAAACAAAAACTTTGTATAATTCCTTTAGATTTTGTGGTGGCATTTGAGCTTTGAGCAGCTCTGCTGCTCTGTCAGGTGCTTTCTTTCCCTGTGAATAAATCTGTTCCTATTTCTTTGCATTAGATTCAGGAAACATTAGAATTTATTACCTTTGGATTATAGGATTACATATATGTGAAAAGTGAGCTCCCCTTCCTTAAATGTTTCACTGTCTACTTTGTTCTCATACTGTCCTCCCTTTTATTCATACTTATTAGTGTATGTCTTCTCTTTCTCTTCCATTAAACTGTAAGCTTCATAAGGTTAAGGTTCCCATCTTTTTGTTTCCAGTACCTAACACAGTGCCTCATAGTAGGTTCTTAATAAATGTTTGTTGAATTAAATTTTAAAATTATTTTCTTGCCAACATTCCTTTTATCTCTCATAATATTGGGGAGAGCATGCAAGATACCTTAATAAAAAAAATTGTTAGGATTCTTCACCGTCCATTCTAATGGATTAAGTGGTCAGGAAAATGGGCTTAGAATTACTTAGATTTTAAATGGCCAGTATAGAACAGGACTTGACCTATTGGTAGTCTTCTTGCCCATCCTACCTAAATTGTTTTTAAAATAAATGTTGTTTTAAGATTAAATTGTGCACGTGCCACTGCAGATGAGGTTTAGCAAAAGTTTTATAATTTTTTCTAACTAAAAAGAATTTTTGTAGTACATACATACATCAAGCTCTTTGCAAATGCTTTCTTTAGAGAGGTAGCCTGGTTCAGTAGATAAAATATGGGACTTGGAGTTAGGAAGAACTGAGTTTAAATCCTGCCTCTGACACTTGCTAATTGTGTGCAAGTCACTTAGCCTCTCTAAATAATGACTTCTAGTCATCTTTATAAATACAAAGTTATTGTAAGGTCAAAATAGCTACATGATCTGAATATTAAAAGGTCACACCATTTTTAAAAATTAGAAGACAATTAGATCAGGGGAGAATTCTTAACCAAGCAAGGGAAGTTAAATAGATTTAATAACATGAGGTGGAAAAGTTTTTGCACAAACAAATTCAGTGCAATGAGGATAAGAAGGGAAGATATCAATTAGGGTTAAAAACATGGAATCATATATCTCTGATACTGTAATAGAGAAGTTTAGGAAAGGAGTAGGAATTGGTGGGGGAAAAGACAGTGAGTTCTGTTTGAGATATCTAAGGGACATCCATTTCAAGATATTCTGCAGGCAGTTGGTGATGTGAACTGGGGGTCAGGAGGGAGGTTTGGCTTGGATCTATAGAGCTAGGAATCGTCAGCATAGAGATGCTAATTGAACCTGTGGGAGGTGATAAGATCCCAAATGAGAGATCACAGACAGGAAAGAAAGCCTGATTTAATATCCAAGTAATTCTCAGCTCATTTTTCTGATCACTTTATTAAGATATTTTGTACACTCTCCCCAACATCATGTGAGATAAAAGGAATGTTGTCAAGAAAATAATAACTTTTAGGTACACTCACAGTTAATGGACATATATGGATGAAGACCCAGCAAAGAATACTGAGTAGTAGAAGACAGGTAGGAGGACCAAGGGAGAGCAGTGTAAAAAAACCTAGAGAGCAGGGTTTATCCTGGAGGTGAAGAAAATCATTAGTATGTGATGTTACAGAAAAGTTGAGAAGGATGAAGACTGAGAAAAAGCCAAATATTTTTCTCTTAAAATTTTTTTAGTTTTTTTTTTAATTTAAAAGAAAAATTAAGAAATCTGGTAACTTTGGAGAGAGCAGTTTCAGTTGAATGATGAAATCAGAAGTCAGAGTGTAGAGGTTTAGACTCAAGTGAGAGGGGAGAAAGTGGACCATGACACCGAGTATAGCGGACTTTCTCAAGGATTTTAACCATGAAGGAAAGGAGAAATAGAGATGATAGGTAGTGGGGGGGGGATCAAGTCTGGGTTTTTTAAGAATGAGAGAGATCTGGGTGTGTGTGTTTCCTAGTATATAGGAAGAGGTTAAAGATTCGTGAGAATGGAGATGATAGAGGGAAGTATACAGGAGAAGACCAGATAGGATGAGAGCAAGAGTGCCCATAATGGGGTTGGCCTTGGCAAGGAGGACCACCTCTTTATGTAACTGAGTTGGGGAAAACATCCTGAGTGATAGTGAGTTGAAGGGGAGGAAAGAGAATTCTGTGAATAGCCTCAATTTTTTTAGTGAAATATATGGCAACTGAGAGGGTGTTGGGAGAGGCTTGTGGAGGACTGAAAAGTTTGGAATAGCTGCTGTGTTAAATAGGATGACCAATTGATTGGGGTATGAAAGTATTGCCTTGCTGTAGTGAGTGCCCAGTCAAAATTATGTAAATTTGTAGAGGATCCACTCAGGACTGTTTGCTGATTTTCTCTAGCTCTCTTCAGCAGCTTGTGACTGGCAACAAAGGCAGCAGATGTTACATGTTACTGTCCTGAAGGTTACTGTGAGATTGAGGGAATCCTGAACTCTGAATAATATTTCCATTCATATAACTTGAGGTTCAAGTTTCAGCAACAAAAGTAAACCATAATAATGGACAAAAATACGGAAGTAGCAACAAAACTGAAAGGCATAATTTATGGAATTTTTAGGTAATTTTCAGAGACTAATCAGATCCCCCAAAATTAATCATAATTTATCTAAAGTTTTGTTGGGCAGCATGGCATAGTAGGAAAAACACTGGTTTTGTTGCCTGCTCTCTGTAGATAAGTGAGTTTGAGTAAGTAACTTCACCTCTCTGAGCCTTAGCTTCCTCATCTGAAAAAACGAAAGGATTGGACTAGATGTCTCTAAGGTCCCTTCCAGTTCTAAGTCCAAAATTCCAGTATTTTAATTGGCTTACCTCTCAGTAGTATGAACTTACTGATGTAGATTAGAATTAAAACTAGCAAAGTATAATAGTTAAAGGTTTGCAGATCCTTTAAATAGGTTTCTCACTTAAGCCTCACAGTATCGCTTTGGTGTAGATACTACAGATGTTAGCTGCAATTTATAGATAAGCAAACTGAGACTTAGAGGAAAAGTTAGATTTTGTTTTATATATTATAGGGGGAGTGTATAATGTTCCCAAGGTTAATTTTTTTCCAAGCAGTAATTATGTTGCTTGAAGAGTTAAACCTCAGCTATGTGGAAAACTGCATTTCTTAAGGGAAACATATAGCTGAGATTTTTGTTACAGTTGAAACATTTGGATTTTTTTTTCCTTTCTCTCTTTTGGGTAAGATCAAACAGTTTACTGAAATATCTATCTTTCCTGTCACTTTTCCTTTTCTTTCAACCCAAGTTTTTGACTTTATAAATAGTACTTCAACTAATTAATCCTTTTGTGAACAAGTTTAAAAAAAACTGAAAAGCTTCATAAATCAATGAAAGCTCAGAATCACTTAGCAAAAAATACTCCTGTTAACTTGTCTTCTCCCAATTAAAGAAAAATATTGAAAATGAGGCAAAATGTGAAGTTTTACCATTTCTGTAATACCAAACCCCATTTCAAATTTACATCTGCTGCTTTTCAAGTCAGGGGTCACTGGGTTAGCTGATTAACCTGAAGTTTGATTTAGTTTGTCAGTGTGTTGCCCTGGTTAGTTTTACTGTATGAGCTTTGGCAGTGTATCCAGGAGGCTGCAGGTTCCCCACTTCTGGAGAGACACATGACTTAATGGAACTTTGTATTTAATTGTTTAATAAAAAGGGCAGTTTTTCTATTAAGTGCTTGATTTAAGTGACAGAAAGCTAGAGGACCTTGTAATGCTAAAAATGTTTGTTAAACAAGTTTGAGTTTTTTTAAGAAAATTTTTTTTTCTTTTTGTCAGCACCACTTTCAGTACCACTTAAAGAACAGAAACTCCTCAATGTCAAACTGCATCAGCTACCAGCCTGGATTATGAAGCGGGATTTTTCCCCTAGTGGGATTGTCAAAGCTTGTCGTAGAGGTTTGTATTTTGAGAACATCTTTAAATACATATACCTGAATATAGTAGACAGTTTATATGGGGGGGGAGGGAGAGACACTATAGTTTGGTTACATATATGGATCTAAGTAATTAAGAATTTATTTGCCCAGGTAGGCAAGTTAATTATGTGGATAGTTCATTTCTTCTTTTGACTCAGTTTAACTATTATTAATTTCCTATGAAATTCTAAAGGAATTTTTCCTTTTGCTTTTAACAAATTTAAGCTTCAAGCCTCGCTTTTTCCCCTAAAGAAGTAAGTACTTCTCATATTAATATATACCTTTTTAAAAAATCAAGGCATATAAAATTAAATGTATAGTTATAAACTTTGTGATTAGATAAAACTTGTAACTAAGACTATGGAAATTATATATTTAAAATACATTACCATGTCCCAGTATACATCACTGAAATCCACTGTGGTTTCTGAGGTTCCCTGTTTAAAACATCTAAACTCAGAGAATGTTCTGGAAGTCCAACATTCTCATTTTACAGGTAAGGAAACTGAGGCCCACACACAGGTGGTAAGTAGTAGAACCAAGATTCAAATCCAGATTCTCCCACTCCACGTGCAGTGCTCTCTCCACCATCATCGTTCTGTGGTCTTGGGCAAGTGACTGTCAGCTCTGGACCTGTTTTTCTCATCCATAAAATTAGAATTAAGTCTTTTCTAATTTTAAATCCAGTGATTCTAAGAGGCAGGAGGATTCAGATCCAAGTCTTCTGAATTTAAGCACGGCACCATAGCAGCAACATCCCAATGGTCTTGTTGGACTGTTATGAAGTATCTTTCAAAACTTCACCCTTGTTAGGAAATGGCTTACATTCCTTGCTTACGTTTAGAAAATATCACATAAGGAGCACTAGGTAATTATGTGACATAAAGCTTTACTAAAATGTCAGCTGTTTGTTATTTACCATTTTATGATGTATCTGTTTTCTCCTCTATACTAATAATGATACCATTCAAGAATGACTGGTCTGAAGCTTATCCCTCATCTCCAAAAGCCGCTGTCATTAGTGTTTAATGTGGAATGAGACTTTAATTGTAGGAGTGTTTGTTCTATGATAAACACTGACTTTTGTCCTCAGGTTATGATGCGTATTTCAATAAGTACATCAATGTGAAGAAAAGCGGGATTGGTGGTGTCTCTATGGTCCTTGCTGCTTACGTCCTGTTTAGTTATTGTGCCACTTACAAGTACCTTAGTGAGTATACTTTCTGTGGGTCTTTTAACATAGATAGGTGCTCTTTGCTAGGTGACATATTTGTCTTAAACTGAATTTACCATCTGGACAGCTTGCCATTTTGCATCCAACTCTACTTTGACCCTATATCCTTTAAAAGCTAATGCTTTTAAAGCAGGTGCTGCAAACTGGACCAGATTGGACATCAATTTATTTTTCCATCTTGTATCTGTGACTTGGTTGAAAATATTTGGCAACTAAAACCCTTGAATGTTCCAATCATTGAAAAGGCTTCCCCAAAAAAGTATTGTTTTAAATTAACCCAAATAGAAAAGGTAATTTTTTTAATGTAATTCCAGAACATGAACGGAGACGAAAATACCACTGAAAAATTCAAGACACTTCAGATGATGAATTTTATCCCTCAGCCTAGAGAATTTGTGCAGTTTCTTGGTAAACGTCACTTGATGGAGTCAAATACCCAACATTAAAGGATGTGTTTAAACCTGCGTAGTGTTTGATTTTAAATATGTGGTGATCTATGTTCATTGGTGCTTTCGCTACCAAAAAAAAAAAAAAAAGATGAAACTTTAAAGCAGGGAGAGCCCTGGGCTTGGAATAAGTGGAGTTGCTACCTGTTCCATCTGTTCAGGGTAAAATAATGTTTTGAAGCATCTAAAAACCAAGGAAGTACCATATCAGTTATGAAGTTGAAACAAACAGGAACCAAGAAGGGTACCTTACTCCATGTTCATGAAAACCATGATTTAAACTACAATTTGTGGTAGGTAATTGGACACAATATAGGGGAAGAAATGTTTGAGTTGTGACAACTGCCAAAATGATTTTCCTAAAGTGTGCTTAGATCATGTTGTTGTCCTACTCTGTAAACTCCAGTGGTTCCCTATAGCTTCTAGGAGCTAAAAAAGAAACAAACAAGTCTTTCTTGGCTCCAACCTACCTTTTCAACCTTATTACATTTCTCCTTTTCTATACCATACACTCAAGCCCAGCCAAACTGGTCTTGTTTCTTGTTGCACATACACAGCACTCCATCGCCTGTCTCCACCTCTGCAGTAGCTGCACATTCCTAGAACTTCTCACCTTCCACGTCTTAGAATCCCTTGTTTATTTTAAAACCCTAAGGGAAATCTTACAGACTTTTTAGATCCTGCTAGTACCTTTATCCCCAAAATTCACCTTGTATTTATTTTCATATATGCTTATTTATGTATGCCTCTCCCCTGATTGGGACTGTTTCATTTTGGTCTTTGTATTCCCAGCTACTAGCAGGGGCCCAGTGCTTGCTGATTGATTGGCTTATTTTAGCTACTTCCCAGAGGCAAAGAAATTGAATGTCTTTATCCAGCGGTGGAGAACCTGCAGCCTCAAGAGCACAAGACTGCAGCTCCCCACCGCTGGCTATCTTCAGATTCCTAGGATTCTGATTTTTTCTAGGATACTCAAAACTGCCTGACCCATTGATGCTTTTTAGTGGTAAAAGTAAGTCAGTAGATTCAATGGTTGGTACGGCCCTGAGGTGTATTAGTTTGATAGCATCTTGAAAGTGTTGTTATATGCAAAGAAAACAATATACCATAAAACTATTATAAATTGGTTAAGTACAGATCTGAAAGAGTAAGTTTTGAGTAAAGCACCATCAGCAAATAAAGGAAAATGCAGAAAGGAGGAATAGTTTTATCTGCAGGTTTTGGGGGGGAAATAGCTAAGATGAAGTAGATAGCTATCTAAATAGATCAAAATACCTTAAATATCTTCAATGTACAAGTTAACACGTGTATATTATACTTACTATACCTTTGACCTGTAAGAGACTCCAGAATACTGTAAGAAAAATCTATAAGAGATTTGTCTGCCCCACCTACAATAGCTACTGTAAAAGACCATATATGAAGCAATAATTTTTTAAAAAGGCTTTAATCAAAATCATAAAAATTGTTGCAATTAAACTTTCATAGGCCCGTTTTCCCTGAAAATTGCATTTGACAGTTTCACAGAGTTTGAACAGCATATTCAGTTACATGGTGGTAACATACGTACAGGGGAGATACATTTTCTTGCCAACTGGGTCATCAATTAAAACAGATAACCTGTGGCTCTGACTACTTAAGTGTCCTGTGGAGTTGTACTCAGTGTTGTCTAATTAAACTGACACCCCAAGCAGAAATATACCCCAATCGAAATGAGCACCTCTGACTCAGAGGCTTTGCATCCTTCCTTTGAACTGCTGTTTTACTTCTGGCTGCTTGGACCAGCGTGAGGCAAAAATCAAGTTTCCTATAAGGGCTGACTACTGTATCATAGGCATTCCTTCTGGATTCAGTAGAAAGCCAGGTTTTGAGTGACATAAGAGACCCTACCTTCTTACTCAGGTCATCAGGTCAGAGACCACAGAAGGCCACTTGTCTTTCAAATACATCACTAACAACCAAGTCTTTAACAAATGGGCTTGTTGGGTTCAATAACAGGTATGTGACACCAGCTGAGGGCATCACCCTCAGGGGCACCAAGTAGCATATTTCTTTTTTAAAAGAAAACAAAATGATAGGGAAACTAGCAACCCCTAACCCTCAAAAAAATGTTTAGGGAAAAAAAAACCCTTCAGCCAGCCTCTAACCCTAGTTTTGTCAACATTGGCATTAAACAATTAAGTCACAGATCCAAAGGACAGTGGTAGGATGATTCTCCCCAGCACAATAGCTATGGAGGAGAAAAATGGCTCCTCAGGCAACTTGCTCTTGGAACTGTCTTTGGCGCACACACATCATTGTCCACTGAGAAAAGCCAAATGTCCTTTGGTGCATCTGTTGGCATAATGTCCTTTTTCGCCACACTGGAAACAGTGGGAAGAAAGAATATTTTCAAACTCTGACACATCCATAAATATCACACAGGATCATTTAAATATTTTTGGACTTTTTCAACAGGAAAGGAAGTTTTAGAAACGATAGAATAAAAAGTCCCAAATATTATGGAAGATATTTGAGGAGACCAAGTATTGTAGTAGACAAAACCAAGAACCTGTGGGATCTGTTCCTACCTCTATTACCTTCTGCAGGATGGGCCAGTTACTTACCTGAGGCCCAGGAGACCAAATCAAAAAGTTCTTGGCTGGATAAGATGGGGAAGAGACTAGAAAATGTGAGGAGCCCCCAGGGACTGAAAAAAAAAGACTAGACACATGTTGAGCTGATGGTAACCCAAGAACAAGTCTCTCTCTTCATAAATCAGGCAGGTCTGCTTTCCTCTTAACTCTTCTGACTAGCTGAAGGAGAGCTATGACTGTGGTCATGCTCTGTGAGGCAGAGGGAGAAGAGTTGTCTCCCTTCCTCCAAAGTATTTTACCTTCTAGAAGAAACTTGGTTCTTGTTCGACCTTGGCTGACCACCAAATAGCTACAACATTATACTGCTTAAAATCCCTGACCTGGGTCCCCTCTGGCAATCAATGACTTTTCACTGTGAAAGGGATGAAAAACAGATCTGATGTGGTCTGGCAGTAGTGTGAAGGGGGACAAGTGAAAGAGGCCCTCAATAATCCACAAATTAGAGCCTGTGAATATTGACTCTACTAGGCTCATCTCCTAACTTCACTTCCGTCTGTTTTTCTCCATTTACTAAATTTCTTCCAATCTTTTAAAGCATGACCTTTGCCAACTCTTCCTGATTCTGCACACCCCCATCCCACCACGTTGGTAATGACCCTTCCCAACTTCAGACTTGATATAGCACTTTGCTTGTACTACTTACATATTATTCTGCATTAGTTATTCATATGTATTACACACCTCCAACTAAACTGAACTCCAAGGGCAGGGATGTTTTAGCTAAACTTGGTATATTCCCTCACAGCCAGGCACAACACTGTACCAAGTAGGCACCTAATACATGATAATAAAACTCAGCAAAGACAGCCGTTTCTTTGGAGGTGGTAGCACAGCGTAGGAGATAGAGAGGAAATGAATTTGGGTCCTAATGTTGTCATTACCTAGCTAATATGACCTCTGCTTCCTTTCGCTGTGTGAGCCTCAGTTCCCCAATCTGTACAAGGAAGGGGCTGAAGATGAGCTTTAAGGTCCTCTATAATTCTAACGTGATTCTGTGAATCAAAACAAATCAGTTCTGGCCTAGTAGTCTGGGGGTCACCAATGATCTTCACATTCCAATAACATTTTTAAGTTTACAAAGCTGACTGACAGTCACATTAATCCTGTCCTCATGCCTCCTGGAAAACTACTGCAAAACTACTACGTTTCTCAAGCATGCTCAAGTCATTTGACTTCAGCCCCCAACCAAACACCCAGCCATCCTTACCTTGTAACAGGTGACCTGCTCCAACGGCCGGGGTCCCCTGTTGCCCACGTTGTTGTTTTGAGACTGCATGACCCCAATGACCTGCGGGGTTCTCTGCTGATTGGGAGAAGAGTTCTGACTCGTTAACTGGATCAAGGAGGACGACCTTTGTAATGGTGGATTGTTATTTTGCTGGAAAGAGTTACACAACACGGTTTTACTGAGGAAAACACGTGCACATGTACTTTTCAAAGAGGGGGAGGGAAGGGATAAAAAGGATGGGACTTCTTCCAGGCTGAAGCCAGCAGGGAGAAGGAATTCTGCTGTCAGGCTCAGTGGAGCAAGCAAAAGAAAACAACAAAAAAGAAAAAAACGGTGAAATGAGTTCTCAACCATACATATACAGAATAAAGTCACCAAAAAATAAAAAGTCAAGACAAAGGAAATCTCCAGGACAAACTAGCATCTTAAGTCATTTCTGGAGTTCTGGTTTTCAATTGTGATTAACATAGCAGATGGTTATTAGGCCATGCGATATAAGGGAAGAAAAACTAGACTGGGGCGGTAAGGGTAATGGGGTACGGAAATTACCAATAAATTACTGTGCAACCTCAGACAGGTTATTCATAACCACCTCTGGGGGCTCCCGGGTTTTTTTTTTTAACCTATAAAATGAAAGGGGTTGGACCAGATGATATAAGGTCCCTCAAGCTCTGCCATTTTAGGTCTATACTGACAGACCGACAATGTTTTTGACCAGGGCTCTATGTGAAAATTCCATATCTCCGAGAAGTCACTTAAGGGTAAGATGGGGCCCCAAGGGGAAAAGCCCGAAAAGGCATGGATCTCTGACAGTAAATTCATGGGTTGGTTCTGAGCATCTTACACATGGAATTCCAGCATCAGAAAGGCTCTCCAAGGTCATCCAGGCCATTCACCCACTGGAATAACCATCCCTAAGCCAAGGATCTCCAATTTTTTCCCAATGAGGAAAAAAATGATCTCCAAATCTAATGATTGCTCCAAGAAGGTTAGGGAGTACTAAGAGTACAGATCATGGAGAAAGGTGGAAGCAGCCAGCCAACTCTATTCTCAGATCCCATAAAAGCTGTAAAGAGAGGGCGTGCTGGCAGCAGGATCCAAACAATAACAACCAAGTTAAGATTTCAAGATCAAACAGGCTAATCAACCTAAGT